CTGGCGCCGCGTTTGATGCGTGCACTGGTCCTTTTCAGCGTTGCTCAGATGGCTCCCGCAAAGAAGGGCGGCGAGAAGAAGAAGGGACGCTCTGCCATCAACGAGGTGGTGACTAGGGAATACACCATCAACATTCACAAGCGCATCCATGGCGTGTAAGTGCTCCTCTGCTGTCGGTGACACCGGCCTCGTGGCAGGGGGCCGCTCGGGGGCCTTTGGGGGCGGGCTCGGTGGGCTCTGAACGGCAGAGGAGGTCAGTCCATACCGGCTCCGGGGCTGACTTAACCCCTCTGCCGCAGATGTGCCCCGAGGAGGCAGCTCTGTCCCTGTGCACACCTACACTTGCCATGTGGCCTCCAGGAACAAGTCGGGTTTTATTTTATAGGGGGTTTTTTTGTACGTGTTCCTGCACTTAATTTGGAGTTAGGTCTGTTTTCCTCTGCCCATAGGACTGTTACAAAACCGTGGGTGAGTCTGGGGGGCAGTGGGGCCTTTAAAAGGCTGTGAGATGTTCTGGCTTTGCCTGTTGATTGTGGCAGCACAGTCTGGTTTTGATGCTGATGATCCTGCCATCCACTTTTCTTTTTTGGGTTATCCTCTCTTCTTTTGGGGCATGAAGCACTAGGGGTGAAATACTTTGTTTAATGCTTGTCCTGCTTGTCATCACTCACCCACGCCCGATTTCTAGCACTAAATAACCAGAGCAGTGTGCAGGTAGCACTAAACAGAACCTGCTGTGGGACCTCAGCCACTGTTGTCATGCCACAGTGTGGGTATGACAGACAGGGCAGAAGCACTCGTGTTGTGGCTGTAACTGCTGGTGTGACAGCCCGTTTGTGCAGAATCTGTCCCTAATGGGCACGTGGGAAGCTACACTGGTAAAAACCCAGTCCTCTTACTGCTGCAGAACTGTTGGCACACTGCTTTTCTCATAGGCCTTATCCAGCTGTGTGTGAAAGCTCCAATCTCTGCAGCAGTACTGCAGTAGCTTTTAATGCCAACTTGTTTGAATGAGTCTTGAGATCTGGGAGATGTCACAGTTGCAAATTTTTACTGGAATTCTTCTACATAAGCATATGAGGTTTCTGCTGAGCAGAGACATGAAGGTCAGCAGCTGCCTACCGGAGCAGGTCTGGTCATACCGCGATGCAGCCATTGCACTGCTGCTGAACAGTTCCTGGGTTTGTGCGTTGAGAGGATGTCAGCGGGTGAATGCTGTGCCAGGTGCCCAGTGCTGCCAGTTCCCTGGGGTTAAAGAAGTGACGCTGGTGTCTGTCCCAGGGGCTTCAAGAAGCGAGCGCCGCGTGCGCTGAAGGAGATCCGTAAATTCGCCATGAAGGAGATGGGCACTCCCGACGTCCGCATCGACACCAGGCTCAACAAGGCCGTCTGGGCCAAGGGAATAAGGTGGGTCCGTGCAGCTCTCCTTGCTGGGGGAGGGAGCCTCAGAGCTGAGCTTCCCATCGCCTCTCTTCTGGTCACCTCCCTCAGCACCTCTGTGGCAAAGCTTCAGTACGCTCTGGAACTGGAAGGACTTCCTTCTACCTCTAATAAAAATAGGCAAAGAAAGGGCTTGGCTGTTGTAAGGCTGTGGTACCCTTGCTGCAGCAGGTTGTAGAAACGTGACTCTTTAGTGATACCTACAGTGTTGGGCTGGCACCAGGGATTTACCTGTCGTGTCTGAACAGGCCCAGGGTTCAAAGCGTGCTGAACTGATCAGTGCTATGGCAGGAGATGGAGGTGTGGTTTAAATAGGGCCATTAATCTTGTCTGGAAAGTACAAATGATAAGTAGTTTGAGGGCCAAAAAAATCACAGATTGTGTTAAGCCACTGCTATGGAGGCAGCTGATTTGCTGTTGTGTGAAGATGGTCCAAAAGGACTCCTGTGAGGAGTGGGACATCTTAAACCATAATAAAAGGGTAATTGGTAGGGATTAGTACTGGGAGTGATAACACTGGATATACATGAACCCTGGCTTTAAACCATGTTTTTTGGGAATTACATTCCTAAATCAAATCTAGCCTATGACCTATTTACAATCCTTTACCTGGAGTTGTGTGCTTAGGCCAACCCTTCCTCCAAGAACAAAGTAGGAAGACGGGACTAAATTACTGGTTCTTCTGGGCAGGGGTTCTCTCTTTCCTCTTGAGGTGTTCTAGGTTATATGCAATGAAGAAATAGCAGCTGAGACAGGTGACAGCATCACTTCAGAGCTTAATAGTGAGGCTGCCAGCCAAGACTTCTTTATATTAACTGGTAGAAGTACAGTCTGGAGCAAGAAGTCATTTCTTTTTTACAGTGCGAGTTCAAATGCAGTTTTCATTTTTTAGAATAGATAATGTATGCAAAGTAAAATATCTTCTCCTGGAAGGATCAGGAGAGGCTAAAAACACCATGTCAGCTAGTATGGTAGTCAGTGGTCTAAGTGAAGTAGTGAAAAATATTTTTGACTGGTTTCAAAAGGGAGTAAATTGTTCCCATGTCTTAATTACTCCATTCACCTTATTAGATATGCTCTTGAGAACATACATCAAGGTGGAAGTTCCTTCACATATCCTGTGGAGCAAAGTACTCTGAGCAGGAGTTTCCCAAAACCCTGAGTTCATTTGAGTTGGGAAAGTTACTTGAAAAGTGGCGTGGACAAGTGATTTTGTGCCTTCCCTCAGCAGCGTATTTTGGGCAGTATTAGGGGAGGATGCTAAGCTGTGACTTGCCTGTTACAGAGTCACCTGAGTGACTTAGTTGTGGTTCCACGGGCTTTGTGAGGAAGAAATGTTTATCAATAGCCCATGAATGAGGTCTTGGTTCGGGTCTAAAGCTCACTAGAATTCCCATATGACTTCTTATGTACAGATTGGGCAGTGCTCGAGTCGTGACAGGGGCCTCAGGCTGTCAGGACAGATGGTTGGCTGGTTTTCCTCACTGTTTTCCATGCTAGTTAGAAGTGCTTCCTGGTGACAGCTGATTGCTGGTCATAGGCACACTGTGCTTCACCAGCATCTTCATAGTGCATTTCCTGGAGTGGTGATGCACTCCTGACTTTATGCTCCCACTGGATTATGGATTCAGTTTATTTAAGGCTCTGTTAGATCATACTTGCTCACCTTAACAGAACTAAAACACAAAACAAAGAGCTCCTTTAAGGCAAACAGTACAAAAGGCACAGGATTTTGCTCTTCTTACAGTGCTGAGTTAGAAACAGAATTGACTCATCCTGTCAATGTCAAGTATTTCCACAAATAAGGAAAGCTTCAGAATTTGAGGGGAGGTAGTAATCATGGGGTAAAGAACTTTTCTATTAACTAGCAGGTTTCAGTACCTGTTTTACCAAAAGGACTCTGTTGTCTCCATGTCAGGAACGTTCCTTACCGAATCCGCGTGCGCTTGTCCAGGAAGCGCAACGAGGATGAAGATTCACCCAACAAACTCTACACGCTGGTTACCTACGTGCCAGTCACAACCTTCAAAGGTGAGCTTCCATCTTGTCTCTCTTCCATGCTGCTTCTCTGAACAAGTAGCAAAGTGGGACAGCTGCTGCAATGCAAAATTGAGATGAAAAGCATGCTGAAGAGGTCAGGCTGCTGCCCTAAAAAAAGTAAATACAGCATTAACTGAAAGAATCATGTGAATTTTGAGAGAATAAGAACCACTGGCCATAATCATTATGGCATTTTTAAGGTTTGTTTTCCCATATAAAGTACATCTTCTGATGTCCAATGGCCAAGCAGGCTGAGCCTTTTCTGCTTACCATCTGAGAAGTGTCTTATTTGTAGAATTGATGTAACATGAAGTTTTTGTTCTAATATTTGGTACGTGCCTATCTAGTTTCCTCTTCCATAAGATCAGCAAACTAGCTTAGAAATTGTAGGTACACTTCCTTGTGAGGACTTCCATATTTCATAAAGGAAATTGTGCCAGTAATAGGTGGTGATACAGTTTCTTGTTTTGCAGGTCTACAGACAGTCAATGTGGATGAAAATTAAACTAATTTTCATTACAATAAAAAGATAAAAAGAAAATTTACTCCTAAGTCTTTTTTATTGTCCAGTCTCTTCAAGTTCTTGTACATGAAGCATTGAGTTGAACAGGTGACATCTTAAAATATCTTGCTTTCTTTGGACTTGTACATAATGATGTGATTTTCTTAATTAAAGATACCATAGACTTCTCTTACATGTGAGTGGAATATGGAGATGTGGATGTTCCTATGTGGGTGGCAAAGTGCTGGTGGGTTTGTTTTGTTCCTATGGAAATAGAAAGCTGCTACACAGGTTTTTCAAGTTAAGGCCATTTGTTTAACAAACAGACCAACCAAACCAACAAATAACACTGCCAAAATCCCAATACTCCCCCCCCACCAAACTGTTAGAGCAATACTTGATATATTGAATCTCTTGTGGATAAAGTAAACTCCCTGTGTTTGCTCCCCTGCTGGTCTCCTAGGCAGAATCAGTAGCCACCTCCCAGGCAGGTGTATGTACTACACTGAAATGTGGGGGTCTGCCCAGTGACTAAATTGTGAGCGAGCTAGCTCAGGGAATTTGTTAGGGACTAAAGGCACATACCTTCCAAATATCAATAAATACCATCAATGCAAATCTAGTACAAAAAGGGTTTATTGAAAAGTGCTTATTTTCACAGACCAACATGAGAAGCACAGTCCATGTACACTTAACATTTCAGCAAGACATACAAATTGGAATACAATCAAATATATTAAAATAGTTTCAATTACCAGCATTGAAACAGTTTTCAGTATTATTAGTGCAAAAAAGGCAACCCAAACAAACTGCAGACAGTAGCTGAGAAGTGTTTCCCCCTGTTTAAAACAAACACAAAAGGACAACTGGAGCCAGCCTCTGCTGTCCCAGTACGGAAGAGAGTTTTGGTGTCTTCACACTGTAGACAGATGTTTCCTTTTACATTCAAAACAAGAACATAATTAATAAATCAATGGCACAAAACAGACCTACACACCCTTTTGCTTTTAAAGCTCTTAAACTGGGCACCACAGGCGAGCGAAGTGTTCATCAGTGAGTCCCCTGCTCACTGAAAGCCTTTTGCAGTTTGTGCTTTGGCATCGTTTCAGTGCAGTTTTGACAGGTTTGCTACCACTGTGTGTTTAGTTTTGCATGTTCACCCCGGGACTGGCAGCTTATTCCATTTGTTTTGAGACTATATTGATTTAACTTTGCGTTTTCAAGTTTTGGCTTCAGTTCCAAGGGTTTTTCAAAGAAGTTAACTAAGGACTGTTCAGTCAAAAGGGATGCTAAAATGTGTTCAAAAGAGACGCTCCAGTCCCCTTCAGTCACGGGTGAGGGTTGTGAGTCTTTGTGAGGGCTCTTCACAGTGTCAGTAAAAACAGCATCCTGGTCTGAGGCAGAGGCCTCGGGCTGCAGCTCCTCGGTGAACTCGTCTGACCCGCTCCCCAGGCTGATGCTTCTTTGTCCCACTTCTCCGATCTGAAGTAACAGTGTGGTCACAGTGGCAATGGCTTGATACAGATCATTCTCCTCTGGATCTTCGTGAAACATGCTGTACAAGGTTTTGCAGAACTGGATGAACTCCCTCTGTAAAGGATGAAAAACCAAGATCAAAGCACTGAAGGGCCACGCTATGGGTGAGTGCAGGAGTTGGGCAAAGGCAGAGCACTGCAGAGGCAGGCAGGACTCTCACTACCTTCATATGCTCATTTATATCCTGCCCCTACTGATGCTAGGAAACCCTGGTGCTGCAAATCAAAAAAGGAACAGAGCAGAAATGTATTTTGCTGCATTGATGGTTCTCATGCTTCTAGGATCTCCCAGATGATCAAAGGCCAACTGACAGACAAGGCAAAGGATACTGTCTGTTCTTGATGGCTGTCAGAGTGACATACAACCAAAGTAGCCATCCACAACCTCCTTACTGCTGTTTTGCTCTCAAATTTCCCCAGATCTTCTACTAACAAAATTAAGATACCTCCCCTGCCCAAACCCTTTGTCTCCTTCCTTCCCTTGCTCACCTATCACAGATGAGTTCAGCCTAGAAAGGATGTTTCTGCATCCTGTGGTGAAATTTGTGAGCCCTCAAGTTCCATAGGGTCATGGCTAATTCAGGATGGAATGGACAGCAAGAAGTTCAGTCAAGTGTTGCTTTTATGAGAGACCACGTGGCCCTGCTGAGCTGACAGGTCAGGTGCATGCCACCCATCTACAAATGTATTCAGCAACACGGGCACAGAAGGGGTTCTGGGTGCACTCCTGTCTTTCTTTGCATGTCTGTACATTTGTTTTGCTAGTACAAGGCCCTTACTTCCTCCAGTAGATTTCCTTGGGCCAACAACATCAAGAAAGCTCTGCTGGGATGAGGGAGGAGATGGCAATGTGACGAGAGCTTTCAGCTGTCTTACTTCATGCAGTTCTAGCCAGCGTTCTGTTAAGACAGGGCAAGTCCCCACTGGTGACAGACTAAGAAACAAGTCACCAGTGTGGTGGAGGTCAGTGACAGCAGAACAGCAACATGCATTTTTTTTAAATTCTTTGGGCTTAGGAGGAGGACTTTTTCCAGCCTGCACGAGACTCTTCTCCAGCCTGTTACGCTGCAGGTGAGAGTGAGTCTGAAATTCTTGCTGTTCACCAGCCACTCTTGAGGAGAGGGAGCTGCTAGAAAAGCAACTGAGAGTTTTTCAACACCTGCTCCCTGGGTCAGAGGAGCCCAGTCCTCCATACCTAAAGGACTGATTCCAGGTTCAGGCTGGAGTCACTTCCTCAGCAAGAGCTAAACTGTTGTATTCAGTCATTTCATTTTTGACTACTCTCCACTTCAAAGCCAGACTACAGCCTCTAAGGTACATACCTGGCTCATTTTTGGCAATTCTTTTTCAGTTTTAGTATCCTTTTCTTTGGCTAGATCCTTCAGCATCTGCTTCAACTGCTTTTGGTAATCTACTGCATCACCTTTTTTGGTGCAGACAAAAAACCGAGTATTAGTTTTCAAGTCACATTTCAAAATAAACTCCAGAGATGGTAAAGGAGGGTTAACAAGCGGGAAGCTGGTTGTCGTGTATGCACTGGAGAAGCATTCTGGACGTACCATTTGATTTTCCAATGACTAGTGGTCTTGAAGTTGACAGCAAAGGATTCTTTAATGGCGACTGGCTGTCTCGTTCATTTTCTGTGAGAGCTACCCAAAAAGCAGTGACAAATGCAATAATGAGTCATCCTTCAAATGCTGCCTAATGGTTATTTATGCTTTTAAAATTTAGAAATTTGAAGAAAGCAAAGTAATTGGGAAAAGATGTTTTTAAACAGTTCTTCATTAAAATTATGTTAATGTAAGTAAGACTAGTGCTGCAGTGAGAGAGTCGGAAGTTTGCCAAGAACTCCACATTTAATTAAAAACTTAGCACAGAGACACTACCACAGAATTTTGTTACATAATGGAAACTGATCAAGAGGTGATTAGGAGATTTCTACTGCACAACCAGTACAAGCCATCCAACAGATGTTATTTCACTTTGTATTTTGTCTAGAAGTAACCATATAATTGGCTGCAAAAGATCTCTGAACATGGCAGCTGTGAGCCTTGATGTTGTAGATCTATGAATTTCATCCAAAAAGGTTTTGACTGGAATAACTTTTATAATATGGTGAGCATAATTACTTGCTGAAAGAAGCCACATAAGGTGGCTCACTAAGCAACGTTTTCCAAAAAGCTTTAAGCAAGACATTTTTGGGGAAACTGAGGTATTAATTCCCTTTCAGATTTCTTACCTGGTGGGATATGCAGTTTATATAGTAACTTTATCTTTTCATTCATTTCTCCATTATACATAACATCTGCAAGGGAAAAAAAAAATGAACAAGAAGGAAGTGGACCAGAGCATTTACTCCCACAGTTTAAAATAAATCGGGTATCTCTCTGTGCACAAAAGGTAATTGTTCACATGGACAATACATGAAGACATATGGCCATTATATTACATGGAAATATACATGAAGACATATGGCCATTATATTACATGGAAATATTTTAAGTTGTGCCTGTCTTTGTGGAACAGCAGGTGAGAGCCATCTGGCTTGGTCTTTGTTCTGGTAAGACAGCCTGGGAGTACCTTACCCTTCAGTGTTGTTTCAAATGGCAAGGAGGAGGGCAGGGAAGACAGCAATGGCTATCTGCTGCCACAGACGAGCAGGAAGGGCAGAGGGGAGAGACACAAAACTCCCTCTGAGGCCATCATATCCTCAACTTTTCTCCCCTTCAGCCCTTACTGCTCTTCTATAGAATAGGCCCAAAGGAGAGAACTACTTCACATGTAATATAATTCATATTGTGAATGACCATTAGAAATGAGATTCTAAACTTTTGAATGCGCTGACTGTGAAGAACTTTTTAATTTAAAGTTGTATCCCTCTAAGACTCAAAATCAAGCAACAATATAATGCAGGGTACCTTGGCTCGCATTTAAAAAAAAATCTAAAAATCTTAAGTGGTGAGAATTGCCACTGAAAAGCCTGAGGGGTGAGATTTACTTGTTTTCACTGAAGCTTTCAATGTTGACTCTGTTTTTGTCTTGTGGGGTCAGGCAGCAGTTGAGATGTGGCACTTTCTTCTTCAGCCAGATTTTGGGATGGGCAGCCTCATCTCGTTAGAACAGCTGGTGGCCTCAAGACCAACCCTAGTGCAGCTCTCAGTCCCTGCTGGCCAGAGTTTTTTTGTTCTATTTATTGTTAACACAGAAGGCAAGCAGCAGTTGGTTGTCTCAGATTAAGCCTTCTCGAAGCTGTTACGAAGAGCTACACTGAGATTTCAAAGGCATACTGAGAGCAGCAATCTGGTGCAGAGGATTTCCCAGCATTCCGTGCACACTCAAGTATAATTTTAATTCATAAAATATTTTCAGCAAAGTTACTATTGTCCGAGAAAAAATATTTTAATACGATATTCAATTCCTTAGGTTGTCTTTTAAATCTAATCGACTTCAGGTGATTGGAACACCAAAACTCAGTAAAGGTCATGGGGTTGTAATTACCCCAGCTGAAGAAAACCATCTGCCCACAACCCCCCTCTGCCAGCTGCACGGAATTTTAACCCCCG